TTTTAAACGGAGAGAGTATGATCTAGAAAGTTGCGCTATTAACAAGAAAACAAGTGTCAAAATATTAAAAATAAGGTGTTTAAATATATATATATATATATATATTTTTACATTAAATAAAGTGCCCACATTTGAATACTTAAAGGTAAGAATAACATTTTAATTAAATTATTCTATTTTAAAATGTAATAATTTTAAAATTCACTTTTAACAACTAATTTAATTTTAAATTAATTTGATTATGTTTATTTGGATATAATTTCTGCTTTCAATTTATTTTTACAACCATAATTGTATGAAACATGATATATTTTAATTTAGTATAAGGACATTATAGTCTTTATAATACTTGTTTATTATTCTTTCTCTTATTTTCTGCTGTCTATCCAAACGAATAAATAATAACATTTTTTTTAATTTTTTTCTTTTCTTTTTTTTTCTCCTTCCATTTTCATTCATCTTAACTTTTCTTTTCATTTCAAATAAAGAATAAATCACATATGTTGAACCATAATATCCTTATCTACTCATATATATTATCTAAAATAAAATATTTCTGACAATATTAAAAATTAGATTAAACTGTAGGCTTTAAAAACAGTGAGAATGTCTTCGTAAATTTAACAAAGTGGAAGAGAGTTCATTATATTTTACTCTAAAAATTATTTGCCTCCTCTGTAACAATAATTAATTATTACCAAAGAAGGGTAAAGTTAAAATAATTCAAAATTATAACTACCTAATTGTTTTTCTTAGTTGTGTTTGCCTTAATTTAAAATATTTGAAACGAACGTAATGTATAAAAACATGTATATTTTTTAACCAACAAGAAAATATCTCAAGCATGTCTAATTGGTATAAAATATTTCTTAATTTCATATGCCTAGTGCCAAGAGTTTGGCAATTTGGACAAACTGAGTTTTTTTTAACATAAAAAATAAAATAAAAAAGCCAGAGTTGGGCAGATCGAGTTTTATTTAGGTTGATATGAAAAAGCCCAAATACACAAAAGTAATAAATAAAGAAGCTCTACCAACAATTTGAAATAATAAATCAACTCGAAAGCCTGAATTGTTAGAATTTTTATCTTTTGGTATTTTATTTTTTTAAAACTTATCTCAAATTCTATATTCAACATCCAAATTTTAAGCAAAACTATAACACATTTACTCCTTACAACTGAGATTAAATTTAAAATTGAATATCATATATAATTTGAAATTGAAACATGTATACAATGACTCAATTCAACTAATTATACATGATACTTCCTTCGTCCTAAATTATAAAATATTTTTGAAGGAGATTCAATGTCAAAAAATATAAGACACTTTAAGAAGATTAAGGTTTCATTAAATAGACTTATTTCAATATTATCAGTTTTCTATATTCAATACTAATTAATTGTAGATTTGGTCTAATTAAATGAAGGGTATTTTGGTAGTTTTTATTTTTATTTATAAAAAATAAAATTACTAAGTGTATTTAATGAGGTTTATCACCATGTTGAATTTTGTATAAAAGTGTTTTATAATTTAAAATATAGAGAGTACATTAAATCATGAGGCTACATCTTCTTCTTGTTTTTTTTAAGGAATAAATGTTTGTAATATTACTCGAAACGAAACAAGGAACAAAAGATAGCAAAAAACAAAAACAACCTATATTCTTTAACCATCTTCCTCCCCCACATTCAGTTGAAGGAGGAGATTAAAGAGGCAAACACTTTCTTTCATAGTATGGGAATATCTAGCTAAAAAGAGAGCTCCCCTGTTACAATTCCTAGAAACATGAAGAAAATGAAAATGTCTGTTAACATCCCGGAAATTTAATAGACTCGGATTTTATAAAGATAAAATAAAATAAAATATCT